ATCTCCACAGATACAGCTCCTCCTGGGGAAACGGAGGCAGGGAGGACTATCTGTGCTGCATTGAGAGGACGCCATGTGCTAGAGGCTGCCAGTGCTCCACAAATAGCACTTGTACTTTTCACTGTGCTCAGGTCAAGTACACCTGGTAGGGCCTGCATCTGTACCTGAAGGCGTCCCCACCTTAAGTGTGGAAGGCCACTTTGCCCACATGTGTGGCCATCTGAAAGTGCTGGGAATTACCCACCCATACCACCCAGAGCAGCCCCCTCCTCATTACTGATGAGTATTTACACTCCCGCTCCATGGCTCTCAGTAGTGATGACCCTGGCTTGTTTTGCAGTGTTTGCCAGGGTTTCCACAGTGATGTCCCCACCCTATAGCGCTGCCACGGTTCCCTGTGCTTCCCAGAGAACCATAGGATTGGGAGTCCTTGCCTCAGGCTCTGTTTTCGAGAGCTAAAGTGCAAAGAGTCCCAGACAAGATAAATATGGCAACCACAATCCAGGTCAGCAGTAGTGAATGCTTGAGTGCAGGCAGTGCCATGAGCTGGAGAGAGGGGACGGGTGGGTGAGCAGACGGTGGAGGAGGAGGCTGCAGCCTCGGGTGGCAGGTGAGGGAGAGGCCTTGGACAGCATCGAGGCTCACACAGGCCCACCAGGAGTGTGCGCTGGCCTACCCTGCCTGATACGCTGCCCCAGCCCCCAGATCAGTCATGCGCTCCACATGCGTTCACTGAGCACCACTGTCTAGATGCCTAGGGCATATCAGAGACCAAAAGACAAAAAACGGTCCCCGGTGGCAATTACATTCTAGTAAATAAACACAGATACTAAATAATCAATCATAGTGTATAAATAGAAATCATATACCGTGGTGGAGGGCGGTGGGGGTTTTGGAAGAGCAGTGGAGCAGAGCAAGGGTGGCTGGGAGGGCTGGAGAGAAGGCACAGCCTTGTAGCCTACTGGGAGAAGAGAGAAAGTGTGGAAGGATAGTGAAGAGATGTGGAAAATAGAACCATTTAAAATTGTTTCCAGAATAAGAGAGTCAAGACAATGACCAGCAGGGTGTAATCACAAGAATAAGATTACTCAAGACCAAATGAAGCAGTGGTTCTCTGAGGCTGGATTCCTGGACCAGCAGCCTCAGCAGGAATGCAGTCTTGGGCTCCACCCCAGATCAGCCGAGTCAGAAGCTCTGGGGGAGGGGTTCGGTTTAAGGGAGTCCTGTAGGGGGTTCCAGGGGGTCCAGACACACGCTTAGGTTCAAATACAGCTGGAAGAAGGCACCCCCTGTGCTGGGAAGAGCTCACCTAGTGCAGGCGGGACCAGAAGAGGACAGCACTTATGACCTGAAGTGAAACCTCAGGACTCAACAGAGAACAAGAGAATCACCAAAGTACTGGGAGAAAAAAAGGGAGAGAAAAAGAAATGTCCTAGGAAAGAAAACACATCATTTGACATCGGCCTTCTCATCAGGAACAATGTATGCAAGAAAGCAAAGGCTGGGTGTCTCCAGAGCTCTCCGGGACAGCAGATCAGAGCTTCACAATCCCCATCTAGGTGAGACATCGTGCAACACGGGGAAGGGAAAGGCATTTCCAGTCATGCAAGTACACAGAAAATCTACCCTTAGATGACCTTCTCAGTAAAAGACACAGATCACCAGAAAGCACTCCCATGAGAACTGAATCCAACAGTCCTGGGAATCAGGCGAGGATGAGAAAAAAATCCAGAAAAGCTCATGGCATCCAAGTAGGTTTTCATTGTAAAAACGTAAAACAATCAAAAAATAAAATTCAGATGCAATCCAGGCAGGCAGTAGTGTGGGAATTTGGGTGACTTTTGAGGAGAGAAAATGGAAATAAAAGATTGCTGGGTATTCTGGAGGTTGGGGGAGGAGATAGCTATTAATTAACATGAGACATTGACAGTAAGACATAGGCTGATTGATTATTTAGTATCTGTATGTGAGGTGGAAAAGTAAGACTATTTGAAGAATACAAATAGTCTACATCAGTTCCAAACTATAAAGGGAAAAAAAGAAACAAAGAAAACTGAATCAATCTGATAATGGATGAGAGACAGAGACTAGACATCCCGATGAGTCATTATAAACGGAATATAAAATGTCCGCACAAACTTATTAGTAACCTTAATGAATGTGAATCCATTGAATTCTCCCATTAGAAGACGAAGACTTTGATTGAATAAAAATAAATACATAAAGTGAAATCCAGCTTTGTTGTTTATAAAAAACAAACATGAAGGCTGAATTTAGGGGGGAAAAGTCTCATACTCATCAGCTGCAGCAAAATGAATCAGGTATATCAGTTGTAAAGACATATAAAATATAATTTGAAGTGGAAAGTTTCAAAAGTTATATTTTCTATTGATAAAGGATGAAATCTGCCAAATAGGAATCAGTCTCCTCACCACGTGTCTGTATATAGAAAACAAAACTGGTGGAAATCCGGGGAGAAGCTGACAAAGCCCCAGCCACGGGGGATGAGGGCCTGGTGGAGGCCGGGTGTGAGGACTCGCAGGATGGAGGAGAAGGAAAGCAGACCAGCGCGTGATGCCCCCGACACACACATGCAGGACGGGGAGGCAAGGTCAACTGTGAGGTAAAATATTTGGTACATAATCTCAGACCCTGGAAAAACAATGTCGAAGTCCCAATTATTTTCTTCCACCTCACAAATTTCATTATTTTCATGCCGCTTGAACACAGGAGGAGCCCAACAGAGAGAGGTCACGGGCTTGGCTTCAGGCCTGATGATATGAATTATGTGGACAGGTGTAAGGCCAGCGGCATAGGCAAGCAGGCTTTGCAGGAAGGTGACAAGAGGGTGCTGGGCCCCGCCAGGGCCCGGAATTCTCACAGGCACAGCCTGAGAAATTTGGCCCTTTCTTCTCAGACTTCAAGCCCAGCTTCGTGAGACCTGATCGTGACCTTCCCACACCTGAGTCAGTCCTCTACCCGCGTTTGTGTTCTTGCTCTCTCTTCCATCTCTCAACTCTTTCTTCCTTCTTTCCCATGTATTCATTCCCTCCCATTCATTCCGTCTCTCCCTCCCTTTCATTCATTTTCTACCTCCCTCCCATTCATTCCGTCTCTCCCTCCCTCCCTCTCTCCCATTCATTCTCTCCCTCCCTCCCTCCCATTCATTTTCTCCCTCCCTCCCATTCATTCCTTCTCTCCCTGCCTCCCTCTCTCCCATTCATTTTCTCCCTCCCTCCCTCCCTCCCATTCATTCCTTCTCTCCCTGCCTCCTTCTTTCCCATTCATTTTCTCCCTCCCTCCCTCCCCCCCTCCCATTCATTTTCTCCCTCCCTCCCTCCCATCCTTCTATCCTATTCAGTTGACTTCTATGAACCAATTCTAATCACAAGAGAATATCAGCATCCAAGTCAATGATGACAAACCTCAAATAGAACCCAAGTACCAGAGCTCAGAGAGGGACAACTGCTCACCAGGAATCCAGTGGTGTTTCCCTGGATTCTCAGGAGAGGGCCTGTGCCTGAGCTACATGCTGAGCGTCCTTAAGTCAGCCACAGTTCCAGAAAAATGACTGCATTTGATCTATACCTTTTATTCTTTCTGCCTCTTTCTTCACTTTTTCACTGTTGAGCTGTCCACAATTTCCTCGGACAAGGGAGAGTTGGAGGTATTTAGAGGATCTGAAGGGTAAACCCATCACTCGTTCTCTTTCTGAGAGGCTGTAGTGCCACATATAATTCAGGGAAAGACTGAGTGCGACTTCTCTGGTTTTCAAGTTTACTGTCTGTGTTCTCTGTATCTCCTCTTGCTGAATATACACGAGTCAGCTGAGCACTCAATAGGGTCACTCGAGGCATGTTCAGTCCCATGGAAGGTGCATAGTATGTGTCTGAGTCATTTTAATCTCATTTTGTCTGATGATAGAAACACAAATGCACTCTGCATTGTGCAATAGATATGTGTGCAAATTAATGCAAATCATTTGTTTGTGAAAGATTTACCTAATATTTAAGAAATTTTAGTGAGGCAGCAAAAGTCACCAAGAAAAGTAACCATTACAAGTTGGTGTTTTCTTCATAGGCTTTTCCTAAATCAAGAAACACTGGCCTCGGGTGTTTCAGTATGAGAGAAAGATGTCAGAACTGTGTGTGCTTGTGGGTGTGTGTCGGGGTGTGTGTGTGTGTGTGTGTGTGTGTGTGTGTGTGTGTGTGTCTTGGGGGAGCAGCCATGGTTGTTCATACTGAGGAAGAATTTCCAAATGTGTGTTGGTAATGACTAGACTGCTGACAGAATCAGCTGCATTTAACCCTAAATGATGGATATTTACTGAAGCGTTCTGTACCATTAGCATCACAGAACAGAACACTTTATCCTTCTTAAGCCCTGGGCTCTTGTCACAGCCTTTACCCAGTGCACAGTCTTGAAAGCAGGCTGACTCAGAACTGGCCACCACCTGCTGTTCCTGACTTGGAACCGCCGTGAGATTTGTGCAGCCAAACAGCCCCCGATCTGATCTGCCTGTCCAATTAGTTAAACAAACTGAAAGGGCTTTGCTGACAACTCAGTAATAAACACTCCGACGACGGTGATCAGAGAATGCTGTTCTCACGGTGCCTCCATTGGGCATGTCTGATTCTGCGCCAGGCGTCTTCCATGTAATTTACAAGATGCAGGGAATTAAAGAGTGATGAGGGGGACGTGGATGAGCGGACTTAGCTGCCAGGGACACTGGACACAGTGCAGCCCAGCCGCCCTGTTCCCTGTCCCCAAGGGCAGCATGCTGAGGGAGAGGGCACACATTTGCTGAGGCAATGAAGGAAGGCAGAGCCCTGTGCCCCCTCTCGCCTCCAGCAGGTGCAGGTGCAGAAATGTAGCCACAAGGTACCTTCTTTTTAGCAACGTTTTGAAAAGGGAGATGAGTAAATATAATGGCCTTGAAAGCAAGTTCTGCCAGTTATTTTGAGTTGTCTTGAAATATATGAAAACAAGTTCACGACCAATGTTTTTAGGAGTTTATTAGGAAAGGCACATAACAGGAAGCTCAAAGGACAACAAGGCTGCTACTTCCTAAAGGCTGAGCCACGATGGCACTTAAAGCACCATTTTGTTAGAAGTGGGAGGAAGAGCTCGGTCTCTGAGCCTTCCCTCCTCACAGTCTGAGAAACATGCCCAGGATGAGGGTAAATCCTGCAGAGAAATCTTGTCATTCCAGAATGAGTCAAACAAATTTGAAATACACACATTTAAAAAGGCTTACATTCTCATTTAGTGTTCGTGAAGTGATTACTGACATTTGCAGTCACATCTGACGTCACAGAGAAAGACTCATGCAAGGATCTAAATCAGGCTGACGCCAGATCTGCGCAGAGAACTCCTGCCCCGGGGAGCACTGGGCAAAGTCTGCTGAAAAGAGCAGCTTGCCACCTCGCAGATAAGAGCAACAGTGAAATAAGGGGATTCCAGAGCTTCTACCTAAAATAGAAGGGCATTGTCTACAAGAACAGACCAGAACACAATTTATTTTAAATAAGCCCTTCAGTGAGTATTTGTCTCGGGAATCTAGTATGAAAATCGTGTCTTGATTAATGAATATATGGAGAATTTGGATTACCATCCTCCTTTTTTTGGTTGACAAAATGCACAAACCATATAGATTTGAGCTATGGGTTTTGCAGCCGAAGTAGAGACAGATGTTTTCAGGGATCATATCTCAGATTTCCATGCTAAAGCTATTGTTCAAGGTGATGGAAACATGTCGGGGCCACTAAACCATTTTGCAGCTGCTGGAAAGCCGTGTTTTCCTGTTTTCCTGATTTAGACAATGGAGAAGCTAAGGAGAGAAATAATAGCAAAGGGTTTCCTATGTTAGTTTTAAGAAGACTGTTATTTTTAATTCAATTTTTTGTCAAATGCCATTTCTGTTCTCCCAGTTTTCACAGAAATATTTATAGGAATAAAGGTTGAAACAAAAGTATGTCATGACCATCTCTATCCGTCGAAAGACTGCGCAGGGATAAGACGCTCGTGAAGAGGATGGAAAAGACAAAACAACTTGAAGAGAAGAAATTCTTTTAAACTCAGTTCACCCTGAAAAAATGGACATAACACATGCACATAAAGGTTTATGTTTTTATTTCACGCCCAGTCGTGGGGAAGATGACATAAGGCTGGGCCTCCCTGAAGCTTTGCTCCTCTGCCACTGACTGACAGGCCTCCAGGTGGCCTTGCAAGGCTGGCAGCGACAGCAGCCCACGTCCCCAAGTCCTTAATCAGAGCCTCATGCAGTTCTTCCCCCAGGGTACCCAAACATAACATTGTAGCGCGACTCACGGGTGTATTGCACCTCGATGCTGTGGCACTGCTGATGATGCTTAGGGGTGTGGGCCGTGGAAGGCAGAGACCAGATGTGGCGGTCCTGTCTGGAAACCGAGCTGTGAGCAGCAGGGGAGTCCCTCTACAGAGGATGCTGCTGTGGAGCAGCAGGGGAGCCCCTCTACAGAGGATGGTCACCAAATTCCTCCTCAAGCGTTGTGGATACCGTCCTGCCCTGGTTTTTCTGTGATCCTCAGATTACCTGTGGGAATTGTCCTCCTGCATCACCTTTCTCAAATCAGGAATATGAAAGAAAGGGCAGTGATGGCACCTGAAATTCAGGAATGAGTGGGCACGGTGAGCTGTGTGTGAGAGATGTTCTCTTTACGTCATCTGCTTTGAGAGGTGGGATGAGAGGAGGAAGAGAGTTTGGCCTGAATATGTTCAATTTTCCCAAGAGTCTCCCAGAATGATTGAGCTATTTGGACAACAAATTTTCATTGTCTCATTTTCCATCTTCAGGTGAAACCTTCCACCAGTCCCCACGGCCCTGGCTTGTCCTGCTGCTGAACAGGTCACTGGGACAGAAACACTGTGTCTAGTGAGGATTTAGCAGGTGGCAGGGCGCACCTCTCCCCATACTGTGACCCGTGGATTCCCTGCTGTGCCACGCCTGAGCAAGCAGGGGGCCCTCTGGATAAAGACAGTTGGTCAATGGCCCCTTGGCCGATGGGCTTTTGTTTACCCACTGCTGTGGCCCCCGAGATCCCCAAAACAAGAATTCCCATGCCTCAAAGTGACAGCAGCAATAAACAGGAGAATAGGGCACGTGTTTGAGGCCAGTGGTTTCTATCAGACCCACTTCCTGAGCTGTGGGGTGAGCTGCTGGCTCTCCCCAAGCAGTGGGAGAGATGTGCAACAGGAAGTGCCGCCCAGCAGGAGAGGGACCAGCCCTGCCTGGGCACCTTTTAAGGAGGTGGACTCTTTGTCACCCATTTCTCCCCTTGTGGGTTCCGCAGAGGGGGGTCCATGCCCTCCCTGCTGTTGAGAATGGGGCTGCATGTTGCCACCTACAGAAAAATCCAGAGACCAGACGGTGGTGCTGGGATGTGAGAGCAATCAGAACACTGAGAATAGCAGGGCTTGTAGTGACCTCAGCAAATTCAAGGACCCCGGGATTCATACACAGACTGTGTTGGGGCTCTGAGAAGCCTGGGACAGGAATGCCTCTTTCACCCCAAATAATAAGGGCAAGGATTTTCAAGGCCCAGAGGGAAAGGTGTTGCATTTGCATTTATCTCAGTGTTGATGTTGGTCAGCACCATATCCCACAGTGTCTTCAGAAGCCTCTGAATGGCCAGACAGCGCGGCTCTCCATGCCACAGACTGCCCAGCTCCACAGATCACCTAGCGTTCTGTGGCCAAGGAAGTGTTGCCAAATGGACACAGCCTTTGTCTCCCTTAAGTGTTAAACACCAGAATTCCAACTGAAAACTGAAGACCATGAGATGACTTTAAAAAGAAGTTCCAAACGCCCCACTGAGCCCCACAAAACCTCCATCTCTCCTTTCACCTCCCCTGCCCATTGAGTTTTCCATTAAAAAAAAAAATCTGAACCGGCCTGGCACAGTGGCTCACACCTGTAATCCCAGCACTTTGGAAGGCAGAGGCAGGTGGATCATGAGGTCAGGTGTTCAAGACCAGCCTGGCCAAGATGGTGCAACACCGCCTCTACTAAAAATATAAAAATTATCTGGGTTTAGTGGCGGGCGCCTGTAATCCCTGCTACTTGGGAAGCCGAGGCAGAGAATTGCTTGAACCTGTGAGGCAGAGGTTGCAGTGAGCTGAGATCGCGCCACTGCACTCCAGCCTGGGGTGACAGAGTAAGACTCTGTCTCAAAAAAAGAAAAATCTGAATCATCGCATCTATATTTCAAAACTGGCAAGAGTATTAACTTGAAGTCCCTGCACCTGCTGGCACTTTAACTGCTCCAGGGTGCCACCGCTGAGACTGATGCTTTGCTAAGGCAAAAGCAGAAGCAAGGAGGCACCCTTCCTCCGAGGCTTTGGGGCCTCGGAGGAAGACACATTTCCTGTGCCTGTTCTTCTGCACAGTGGCAGCAAAAAGTCCACAGGCGACATCAGGCCTCCTAGAGATACTCAGGTAACTTCTAGCGACTCGGACCACCGGTGACCCCCAGGGCTGCGTTCCAGTGCCCCAGGCAGAATGGTGCTGTGAGAGAAGAGAGAGAGAGAGAGAGAGAGAGAGAGAGAGAGAAGGGGAGAGAGAAGGAGAGAGAGAGCACGCACTATGGACCACATTATCATATGGAGAAATCTTTGCAAGTGTACCCTTTAAAATGAGGGTTTAAATTTAAATGGCTTTGAGCAGGTTTTGCTGACAAAAAGGATTTTAGTTAGTTCTCTTTTTCCCTCCCCCTTCACTCCCCACCCCCATTTTTAAGGAAAAGAGAGACACAGAACGAAGGTTCCTTAAGCACCTGCCTGACTAGCCCCTACTTGGTGTTCGCCCCACCCACGATTCGGGATTGAAAATCCCAGGAGGCTGCATCAAGTGTGAACGGCAAACTGTGCTAACATGCTTTTCAAGGCCAGCCTTCAAGCCCAGTGCATCATCTGCAGTTCACACATCGTTCAGGAACAGTCCAATGGAAGGTTCTGCTTCCTCCGTCTGTGCTCAGAGCACCGGCCTTCCCGGCAGGACAAAGTGGAGGCAGGGCCACCCGCAGGGCGTCGGGGCCTCCCAGGCTGAAAGACGGGCTGTTCTTGATTTTGTTTCCTTGTTAGGGCCAATCACATCCACAGTCAAGTGTGTGGCAACCTCAGTATATTTAGATGAACAAATTCAAGTATCTGTGAACCAATCCCTGCCCGCTCTCACCTAGCCCTGCAGGTGACGTGACGTCACAAACAGCCGTAACTCACTTCGAGCAACTTTTCTCATACTTTTCAAACTTCCTTTGCAAATAAACCCAAGACTACCAGAAATGGAAGAACTAGGGAGGCACTTCCGGCCTCCCAGTGACCTTAGCGGTTAATTGCACCCCTGGCCATTCTGGGGGACGTCACCAAGATCCCACTCAGCAAGACTCGTGCTGGGAAATGCAGGAATGCAAATGTAAAGCGATACTTTCAGTCCTGAACATCTTCCCTTTGACCAAAAAACCAGAGCTTCTCATCTAACTGAAGAATTCCTGGACTTAGTTTTCATCCCAGGAAGAGAAATAAATCCCTTCAATCCTAATCAGCACGAGCAGCCTGCCCTTTCCTCTTAGGTGGTCGAAGTGAGCAGAGAAGCTGTTCAGGGGGGCCCCTAGCCCCGGCCTCCTCACACCCTGATCCGGAATCTATCACACTGGAATTTGAAAAGGGAGAAGTAAGAATCATTAGAGAGTCATAAAATTTCCACCGTGGCACGTCAACACGCAGCTTCACTTCAGGAACAGCACACAGGCATACGTAGAAAATACCTGCATGTTCTGGGGCCTTTAAGGATCAGGTCCAGTCTTTCAGAAAGATGTGGGTTCCCCTTGGGATTGGGGGTTCAAAGCTCTGAGGACGGTGGCCGATGACTCTACTGTCTGTGGGGCCACCTCACTTTCAGCAGTCTGTCCCAGGTGTCGGACTATGAAAAACAAAAGAGGCAGTGTTGCCGCCTGCACTTCTGGAGCTTGGGAGAGAGCCCCATGAGCAGCCCTGCGCAGACGGGCAGCATGCGCTAAGGGGGCCCTCGTGCCTGTGCCTGGCGTGGGGAGAGGTTGGGGGTCGGCTGCCGGGATCGGGGTGTTTCTGCCCACAGGGAACCTGTGCCTGCTCCTGCTGCCACCTCTTTGTACTGCAGTCAATGCCCCATGCCTGCCCGTCCCCTCCCCCGGTCGCTCAGGGCCCCCTTTACCTGTACTCGTTCTCCATGGCCCTGCCCTCCGCTCGCTCTGGAACCCAGGAGTACCTGTCTGCCGCATTCTGGGGCTTATCCTCCTTCTCCTCCCTCTTCGCTCTCCGCTTGCGATAGACCAGCAGCCCCAGAGCCAGGGCCAGCAGGAGGAGGATGGCCACCACGGTGCCCAGGATGTAGAACAAAAGCAACTTTTGCCCATCAGTGCCATTGTCGTTTTGTTTGGCGACGGAGTCCCCACCTGCAGGCTCCTGGGGGCCAGAGGCAGCCGTGTTGTGATGGATGCTGGGCTCCTTCCAGACGCTTGGGGACCCACTAGGGGCCAGCATTTCAAATGGGTCAGAGGTGACTGGGGCGTCAGGTGAGAGTGAAAGTCTCCTTGTGGTGGGTGTGGCCCTGGGAGTGCCCTTGGGGCCCCTCGTGGGACTGGCTGTTGCAGTGGGGGCCACAGTGCTCCCCTCTTTCTTTCCTTTGTACTCCTCAGGGGACCCAGATGGTCGTCCCAGAGACACAAGCCCCATGGTGCAGGAGACCCCATTTGGGGCCAGCTCCCAGCCTGTCAGGCAGCCACAGCGGAAGGACCCTTGTGTGTTGAAGCACAAGCTGTCACAGGGGGAGACTCCGGGGCCTGCACACTCGTCCACGTCCTGGCACTGAGTGCCGTCCTCCTCAGCCAGGACATAGCCCTCCTGGCAGGAGCAGTAGAATGAGCCGTCTGTGTTGGTGCAGCCCTGGGCGCAGGGCGAGGGGTCCAGGGCACACTCATCCACATCCCGACAGGCACCCTCTCCAGGACCGTCCGGCTGGTAACCAACCCAGCATTCGCAGCGGAAGCCCCCAGGGGTGTTGACACACTCCTGGGCACAGGGGGAGTCCTGGCATTCATCCACATCCACACAGTCCAGCTGACTCGAGTCCAGCTGGTACCCTTGGGGACAGTGGCATGTGTAGTTTTTCCCCTGGGATCCCTGGATGCATGTGGCCCCCCCACGGCATGGGCTGGAGCTGCAAGGGTTTCGGGAGGCACAGGTCACCAGGTCATCCAGCAGCCGGAACCCTGGCCGGCAGCCACAAAGGAAGGAGCCATCGCCTCCTTCAAAGCAGTCCTGGTGGCAGCCCCCATTGTTGAAGCTGCAGCCGTACTTCGGGCTGACACAGAGGGGGCCCGAGCTGCCCCAATCGAACACATCAGGGGCCTTCTCCTTACACAGGAAATAATGACTCTGACTCTTGTCCTGGTCCCTGTCCCCACAGGCCACATTGGCTGCAGAGGCAAAGGGCACGGCCTCCAAGGAAGAACTGGTGGTCTGGAAGGGGGTGGTGTAGGTCACCTGGCCTGGACCCCCCAGGGCCAGGGGCCGGCACATGCCTTTGAAGCTGAACTTGCACACGAAGCCCTCAATGTTATTTCCAGGGGAGTCTGAGCTCCCACAGGGGCCCTCGGACCACCTGGGGAGGTAGCTGGAAAGAAGAGGCTGGGACAGGTCCAGCAGCAGAGACACACAGCGCTTGGAGATGCACGAGTTGCGGAGCTCCTTGTACCAGTTAGTGTAAGGCGTGTCCTCACCGCCACCCACCCAGCTGAAGCCCTTCAGTGGCAGGCTGGGGTCCAGGCACTTGCCCTTCTCTCGCTGGAGCCCAATCCAGAACTTGCCCATCCTCGCCGTCAGGTTTGCCTCCAGCCTCAGGAGCTGGGCCAGGGCTCGCTGGATGTGCTGGGCCTCCTCCTTGCTCTTCACAGTGGCCAGGTTGCCCCCGTTCTGGCTGCAGTGGTTCTGGGCATCAGCGGCGCTCAGCTTGCCCCAGTGGGCCGTGTAGCAGGCCATCCCCGCGCAGACCACCGCCTCCGTGTCACCTCCCGTTCCAGCCCCTGGCTGGACCAGGAGAAGCAGCAGCAGCAGGGTGGTGAAGGTGGCCATCCCGGTCTCCATGTGCCCCTCGGCGGGAGGTGAGAAACCCAGCAGGGACGACGGGGACAGGAGCTTCTATCTCGGCTCCCAGCTGGGCCCTGAGGGGAGCTGAGGGGTGAGCTGCAGCCACTCTGGCCCAGAGAAGGACACAAAGGCTGCGGGCTCTGCACGTCCCCCGACCCAAGGCGTATCCTGTGCTGCTGTACTTCTTATTTCTCACCGGATGCTGGGGCTTCCTGCAATGAATGGTTCTCTGACTCCTGCTGCCTTCATCACGGTGCTGTTGTTCATAAAAGGAACCAGCCGGCTCTGCCGGGTCCCTGGCTCAGCACTATGGAAACTCAGCAGTGGGTGCGGGGTAGGGAAGACGTTACAGCTCCGACATCCCGCCGGCTTGATCTTGGCTCCATTCTCTTTCTCGTGGCATGAGGAGCCTCAGTATATGCCCTGGAGTGTGCAGAAACGTTGGGGGCTAGAAACTCAAGGAAGCTTCCTCAGTAACCCGTAATAAAATTCTACTTTGGTTTGCAAACAACCAAAAGAGAAAAAAAAATTCTGAGACTTAAGACACAAGGCCATGGATGCTTGTAATTTTCAGCCTTTTTTAGAAGCGAAGCAAACTGGACTTTCCTTTTGCCTATCTCATGTTCTCTGTTGGCTTTGGGAGTCTTTTTTCTTTAATCTCCCCATCGTGAACTTTAAATAGACAGGCATTTTTTTTAATAGGAGCCGGGTCATGGGAACGTCTTGGTTTTCAACATAATGCCAAGCTCCTCGAGAATGCGAATCCAAATTGGATGAAATTGGGCAGTTTGGAGGTTGGAGGTTTCACAATGGAAATATTGCATTGTGAGGTGGCAGGGTCACAAAAAGCATCAGAAAGAAAATGAAAATGTGTCCGGCCTCATGGCACAGGGCTCCAGGCTCACTTTCCCCAGCTCAGGATTCCCAGCAAGGGCCGGAAATCTGGGCAGGGAGTGGGCGTCGAAGTCTGGGCAGGCCCTCCCATGACACCACCACTTGGTGAAAGCCCTGGAATCACAGGTTGCTTTTCCTGCTGCCACACACCTTTGCTCATTGGTTGGGATCCCCCAGGAGGGGACCCTGAGACAAGGATTTGGGGAGACCAGTTTATTTAGGCGGGGAAGTGAAATAGACAAGGAGGAAGCCAACCCACGGCAACTTGCTGAGAAAGAGACCCTGGGCTGCTGCTGGGCCAGTGCCAGACATTCTGGGGGCCCGAGACACCTCAGCACCATCCCGGTTGAGGGAGGGGCTCGGCTGTGCTCCAAGTCCCCTGTCTTTGTCAGCACACGTATCTCTCACTTTGAGAGATTGGCTGTAAATTCTAGCCCTGCCCAGTGACCAGGGCTCCTTCTCACGCAAAACTTGTTTCTATGGACAGACACACTTGTGGCTCTCGTCTGACCCGTGTCCAGTTTATTCCTGGACAGCCACTCCCTAGGAGGGCCCAGACAAGAGGAAAGTTGGGTTGGGGTGTGAGTTGGGGAGATGCAGGAGGCAGCACAAGAAGACGCAGAAAGCAACAGAAGCACCGTGTCACTTACAGATCCCAGGGACAGGGCAGCACACCGCACGGGGCCAGCGGGAAGAGGGGCGCTGCCCGGATTATGCACATTCATCTGGAATGGGGTGAAGAGATAGAGAGGGACCTGAGACCTAAGCCTTTATTGGGGTCCGGGGCGTTTCCCAAGCAGGTTTTCCATGGGGAGTTCTCACTGGTGGGTTTCAAGCAGCCAGACCTGGGCTGCGTGGGGTCCCTGTGGCTGAGAGGTGGGCATGGCAGCATGTCTAGGAAGTCCCTGTAGAGTGTGGGGTCAGTGCGGCCATCCAGTGAGCTGTATCTGCCTGTCCCACAGGGAGGTGGTCACCAGGGCGGGTGTACAAGGCAGATATCTGAGTCAGCCGCATTGAGGAACCGGGAGTGGGTGGAGCCCTGGACACCATGTCGGGTGACAAGGCCCTGCTTCTGGTGGGAGAAGGTCCAACTTGATTCAGAATGGAGGCTGAGGCAACGTGCAATGATAAGAATTCACTACACAGTGGCAACTCTTTGGTGCTCTGCGATGACCATGAGAGCCCCAGGGGAAGCCCCATGGTGGAGAACACAGGGAATGCCTATGGGCTCAGCACCAACTCCCACCACAGTGGCCTCCTTGGAGGTGTTGGGTGTACCAGGCGCTAGGGAGCTTGCTGGCTCCCCAAAGGACAAGGGCCATCTCCAGCTCCAGCTGGAGACCTTCCTAAGACTGTGCCTTAGGTCCTTGCATTTTAGCAAAGATATTTGAGACACTGGGCACTCTCCGCAGAAGCCACCGGACCCTTTCTGTTCTCTCTCACCCATCCATCTGTCCATCCATCCACCATCTCACATCTGTTGATTAAGAGCCTGCTGTGCACTGAATGAGGCATTGGAGTCCAGGCAGGGATCCCTGTCCCCGTGATCCTAGAGGTCTGTTAGAGTGGACAACTATGAACAGGTCATGGCACTGATGGCTTTATCACAGGCAGCACAGTGGAGCGGGGTAGGTGGCATCCTGGCTGGGGGATAGGCAGTCAGGAGAGACTCCTCTGGAGAAGACAAGCAGTAAACCCAGAATCTAAAGGAGTAGCAGCTCAGAGGTGGAGTGGTGTTGAGATGGGGCATCAGCATGTAGGAAACCCTGTGGACAGGGTGTGAGTGAAGGGCAGGGAAACCGAAGCCCAGGCAGTAGGAGAGAGGATGCAGGGGAAGGTGGAGTCCTGTGAACCCCAGGAATGAAGGCTTTGGGCTTTGTCCCGAAATCCACTGGGAAACACTGAGGGCTGGCGTGAGGCCTTGTCCCCAAAGGACAAGGGGAATGGTCACTGGACCATGTGGAAGGGGAGTGGTCATGGGACCCAAGCAGTGGTGGTGGTGATGGTGTGGCCTCAGCAGGTGGCTGCAGGTTTCCAGGCCAGATGACAGCCACCTGGACTGGGCTGGCCCCCAGATTAGAGATGGAAGATTGAAGAGCCATGGAGAGCCCAGGTCCGAAGTTCTCTGTGTTGGGGTGGAGTGGGGTGGAACAGTACTGGGGTGTGTGGAAGGGCACTGGAGAGGTGGAAGGACACTAGGGTGGGTGGAAGGGCACTGGGGAGGTGGAAGGACACTAGGGTGGGTGGAAGGGCACTGGGGAGGTGGAAGGACACTAGGGTGGGTGGAAGGGCACTGGGTAGATGACAGGGCACTAGGGTGGGTGGAAGGGCACTGGGGAGGTGGAAGGCCACTGGGGTGGGTGGAAGGCACTGGACATGCAGAAGGACTGCATGGCTCCTGTTTGTGCTGCCGGGAGCTGAGGTCCTGGAAGACTGTGTCCACTGGAGCTGCCTGGTTCTGAGAACATGGAAGACCGCCTCTTGAGGGTCAGAGCCTCCCAGACCCCCTGTCCTTGTGACCTGTCTCCTCAGGATGCTGAGTGTGCCACTGGAGCTGAGTGTGAGGGGTCCAGGGAAGGCTGGCATCCCTGGTTCCCAGCCGATGTAGCTGGCCATGAGTTTGGGCTTGACGAGGGTCGGTCTTGTTCTCTGCCTGGGAGAAACTGCATTTCTCAGGGTCTGTTTACAAGCAGGTAACTTCTTAACACTCTGTAAAATGAATCCTGCAGCCGTGGCATCCACTCATAGCAGGAAGCCTTTCTGTGGTCTCGGCCCCTGTCTGGGCAGCTCAGAGGTAGATTCCTCGGTAAACTTGTGACCTGCAGCATTCACTCAGCATTCTACCTGGTGCTTAAGCGTGTGGGCTAAACGAGTGACTTTCAGCATGTTAGCTACTCTGATCTCCAGATCTTTGCCAAGGTAGCTTCTTTAGCTGTGAGTTCTTCATCCTCCGTGTGGAAACTTTCAAACCAGTTACTCTCAGCTTAGCCAAGTGATGACATCTTTTTTTTTTTTTTTTTTTTTTTTTTTTTCTTTGAGACGGAGTTTCGCTCTTGTTACCCAGGCTGGAGTGCAATGGCGCAATCTCGGCTCACTGCAACCTTCGCCCCCTGGGTTCAGGCAATTCTCCTGCCTCTGCCTCCTGAGTAGCTGGGATTACAGGCACGCACCACCATGCCCAGCTAATTTTTTGTATTTTTAGTAGAGACGGGGTTTCACCATGTTGACCAGGATGGTCTCGATCTGTTGACCTCGTGATCCACCCGCCTCGGCCTCCAAAGTGCTGGGATTACAGGTGTGAGCCACCGTGCCCGGCCAGTGATGACATCTTAAAGAAGAAAATGAACCAGGCTGAGGCGGGTGGATCACGAGGTCAAGAGATCAAGACCATCTTGGTCAACATGGTGAAACTCCATCTCTATTAAAAAAAAATACAAAAATTAGCTGGGCATGGTGGCATGTCCACCCACCCCAGTGCCCTTCCACCTCCCCAGTGCCCTTCCACCTCCCCAGTGCCTTTCCACCTACCCTAGCACCCTTCCACCTCCAGCTACTCAGGAGGCTGAGGCAGGAGAATTGCTTGAACTCAGGAGGCAGAGGTTGCAGTGAGCAGAGGTCCAGCCTGGGTAACAAGAGCGAAACTGAAGAAGAAGGAGAAGGAGAAGGAGAAGGAGAAGGAGAAGTAGAAGGAGGAGAAGGAAGAAGAAGAGGAAGAAGAAGAAAAGGAAGAAGAAGAAGAAGGGGGGGGAGAAGGAGGGGGGAGGAGGGGGGGGAGGAAGAGGAGGAGGAGAAGAAGAAATGAACCAGCAAGACATCTACTCCATTTTTCATTCATTAACCTTGGGAGTATTTGTAAAGCACCAACAGTGAGAAAGGCTGTGTGAAATGCAGAAACTGCCCTGCACTGGGAGTCTTGGATTTTACTTCACTGTTTTCAGTAACTTGGTTAACTCAGCTTCTCATCTATAAATGCAGAGGCGGGAACAGGGCCTCTGGAAACTTTCTTGCTCTGACAGTAATAAAAGTGAAATTATGCTTAACTCTCCCGTCTGGAATTAGGGAGAGAGCAGGTGGAAAGGGAGTGGACACTGAGACCCCTTCTGAGCCCTAACATACTGCACATCTAAGCAAGCCTCTGTCCAAGCTGCACATGCGGTTTCATCCCAAGTTGACCTGCTGGCTCCCAAGACACAGGGCAAGTTTCCCATTCCTCATCCCCGACATCTGACTTCCATTCTGTCCCTTCACGCTTTGGTGGCTACCTGCTGGGCTCAGGTGGGTTAATTCACCTGGGACACTTGCAGCTGGGTTCTCTAGCTTGAGCCCCACACTTGTGTGTCTGTTCTCACCTGCGGGGGCTGCTCCTTCCAGGTGGTGCAGGGGATTCGCAGAGGCTGAGGGCATGATGCTTGAGCCCCGGAGGGGAGAATGAGCTCTATTTTCCTGGGAGGGATTTGGTGGAGTTTTACAAAGAATTTAAGATAGTCTTAATGCAAACTTTGAGGGAATTCTGGACCTCACATACTATATTCCCCATGGATGGTGATTCATCCGTTTTATTTAGAGAGCAGATTATACCAAACCTCTCCAAGGACCGATCCTTAAACAGCCAGAATCAGCAGGAGATGGAAAGCATTTTCCTCCGCGGATCTTTGGATGGAAGCCCGTTAGGTGTTCCAGAACCATGGCAAGCCTATCAGCGTGGCATGCACCCTGAGCAAAAGGCTCCA